TGCGCCCTTTGCGGACGTGGCACTTCCTTTGGGGATCGCTGCTTCGGCACATTGCCCTGAATCGGTAGGGGCAGAACCCGCACTTCCTGCGATGTCCTGTGGTGGGCCGGTAGGGGCAAGGCTCTTTGTGAGTCCCACACTTCCTGCGGCAACATCACGTGGGGTTGCAACATCCTGGAATGTGACATGCAGGTTGGCAGAGGAAGCACCGGGCTGGGCGCCCGAGTCAACACCAGTTGTATGATGAGGACCCACTTGAGGTGCGGCACTATCTAAACCCTGTTGTGAGGATCTATCAAGTCCACTCTGCTGGTTTGCTTGGTCTTGCAATCCACTGGATGAAGCCCCCGTTTGGTTACCCATTGACACATCCTGTCCACCCAAAATGGGGGAGCTCCGGTTATGCGACCCTTTGGGTTGAGGGGTATTAGAATCCGTACCATTATCGGTTTGTGCTTGCGGGGCACTTTGCGGCGAGCGAGTCGGAGGCTGACGGACTTCAAGCAAAAGGGAAACCGTCCTTTCAAGTTCGGCTAACCTAGACGCTTGTTGCAAATCCTTCTCTTGCAGAGCTAGAATGGTGGCATCACGTTCGGCTACGGCGCGTTGTGCTTCTTGATAAAGGTATTGGGTCTGAGCTTGGGCCTGGGCCTGTTCAGCATTGGCTCTGTTGCGAACCTCTGCTGCGTACCTTTCAGCTAAAGCCCTAGTCTGACCTACCTCTTCATGGGCCTCGGAAACGACTGTTTGCGCCTGAAGCCTAAGCACCTCGGCCTGTTGCCTGGTTGCCTCCTCTTGCTCCGCAGCGCCAATGGCTTGCTGCCTCGCATTGAGCTCGTGCTCACGTGCATAATTCACGGCCTGTTGAGCTTGGGTTACAAGATTCATTGCCTGATGCCTAAACAACCCTTCCCTTTGTTGGGCGGCTTCCCGGAGTTCCCCCGCCTCCCTTCGGGCCTGCTCAGCCAGCAGTTGCTGTCGCTGTGCATGTTCAGCGGCCTGAAGCGCGACATCGGAAGCATGGTGGGCACGTTGAACGGCGGCACCCGCAACAAATGCAGCAGCTGGGAGGTTCTGGGTTGGATCGGGCGTTCCAGCCGGCTCTGATGAGGATGGTTCTGAAACGAAAATGCGCCTAACAGGGGTTGCATCGGAATCTGGTGCAGGGCTATTAGGGTTATGCCTAACAACAGACATGGCTGGCACCATTGCACCCGCAAGGTCTGGGTCATCATAGTCTGTGCCATGTGAGGATCTAGACCTATCTTCGGATGGGGGTGTAATGCCAGAGCCGCACGGATGCGATAGCTTTTCCTGCACACGCGAACCAAGTCAGTGCGCCAAAGGCAGCACTCTCCAAGGCCGGTAATTTGTGCCTGGTGGGATTATGAGATGTGCACTTACGGCTACACTCAAAACAGATTATTGAATGATGCAGCAACACACTCAGTCACACAAGGATTGATATACCTCACTAATTGATAATGGGAATCTCCTCTGAACCTAAACTTTTGTTTGCAACTTGGATGCAAATGTGAAGGCTCACCAATGCAGTTGCGTGCAATTGGAAATGTGTGACTTCGTGCGTCTTTGCGCCACAGTTCTTCGGGGCGCCAACGGCTGCCCCCTGCACAGGTTGAGAAAATATCCTAGGTGCGCCAACGGCTGCACCCCTGTCGTGAGCACCAGGTGATTTGCTACCTGCGAACCTCCTCAAGGAGCTCTGCGGTAGTGAGTGCACGGGCAGGCTGAATGGTCGCTCGGTCGGTTTGATCCAACCACTGCTCAATAGCAATCAACGCGTCCAGAGTCCCTTGCACCCCCTGGCTGGGGTACGCCCGGAAAGCGTGCGCGCCTGTAAGTCGCGCCTCACGACAGATTGTGGCGTTGTCGTCCACAAGGATGTGTGCTGCCCAACCGTGCAATAGGTTTGCTTTGCCAGCAACGCCAACCCTGGAGCGCGTGAACTGCGTTGTACCCACGTAGATGCCCTGGTAAGCCAAGTGTACCCTTGCTGTGGCGATCTCCGGTGCCGTAGTTCGTTCGCGCTCGACCCCACAATAGCTGCAAATAATCCAATTGAACGGACCGTGAGCTGTCTGTAGACGAATCAATCCGTCCACGATCTGTGGGTGAAGCCTTCCCCCAGAGCGGATGTTCACGTCGAGCACCCCGTGCCAGTCCAGGACGATGTTGGGCGTCTTCCGGTCCGCGAGGGGTGTCCGAGGTGGGGGATCTGGGATCCCGTGGCTTTCTCGCCTTGGTGGAGGAGGCTTTGGTGGCTCTCGCTTTGGCGGTTGTCGCCAAGGTGGGTCTGGAGCGCCAAAGGCTGCTCCCTGCCCTTTTGGTGGCAACCTCAACGATGCCGGCGGCTGCTTGTACCTGACGTGTGGGCCAGGCCGGCTGCTTGCAGGGACAGAAGCCTTTCTGGCTGGCGGTGCCGCTAAGCGTGGGGGCGAAGAAGATCTTGCTTCGCTCAAAACACGTCCGCGACTGCTTGCCAAAAATGCTCCAACTGTTCCCCGCGCGTCCCGCACTTTACTGTGGCTTTCGTAGCAGGGGCCGGAGGTGGGGCCGGCACTGTAGGTCCATGAAAAGGTGCTTCGTATACCCCACCCGCCCGGAATGCTGCTCTGCCTGAAAGCAAATCTTCTGTGTTGTGCGCTGTATCCCCGTCGGAGTAGTCTGCCAGGTGGTAGACCTCCGCGTTCCCGTAGTTTGGGGTCGAGGAACTGGACCTTTCCCCGTAGGCCTCGGGGCGGAGCCACACGTCCGTTGGCAGCTCGTGAGGATCACTGAACTGCGGTAAACGTGAGCGGGCTCGGCCTGCAAATGCCCGTGGAGCGCCGGAGGGCTGCTCCCTCTGCAGTGTCCACGTGCCGGTCCGATCGATGCGGACCGTCGGATAGGCCGAGCTCCTTGGCGCCAGCACGATCGGCCTGTCGGTTGGTGAGGTCCTTGATGGCACACTCCTCGATCTGCCACGCGAGGATCGACTGGTCGTCGGGCGAGGAGTTCTGCGGGTTCCCGAAGGCCCCCGACTGCTCGACTCGCCTGCCGCGCCGAGGGCTGCGGCCTCCTGGATCGGTGTCGGAGTTCTTGACCGAGAGCGAGACCCAAGCACGATGGGTACTTGGGAATAAACTGCTCGCAGAACTTGCCTTGACACTGACCGTGGGGAGGTCGTAGATGTCCTTCTCCTCGGAGCTGTACCAGCCACCGCGCCGTGGGCTGCGGTCCTCGCTGTAGGCAAAGCCGGAGAAGACAACCAAGCCTCAGCAGGTGAAGCCTGCTGGGCCACGGAAGGCTGCGCCGCCTGCTGCTGCTGAGGTGGTGTAGATGGAGTCGGAGACGAGGGAGTGGCAGGCACTGGATTTGCACCTGCCGCGCCAGTGGCTGCGGCCCTCCGTTTCTTCTTCGCGGATTGCCCGGATGCGAAGGGCCGTAGGCTGATGCCACCTGTGAAGCTCCTCCCAGCGCTGCTCGGTGACGTCCCGGTTCCAGGCCCGAAGGGCAGCAAGCTGCACCTCTGATCCCTGTTCCCACTGCAACTTGGGTGGTGTAAACCCAAAACGCTGCTGGACCTCGTCGATCACGTCCTCCTGGAGCTCCCACCACACTCGCTTCTTGTTTGCGGCTCCTCCACGGGTACCACGTTTGTGGTACTCTTCCTCGACGGCCATGCGCGCCCCCTTATGGGGGAACCGCTGAGGGAGGGCCTAGTTAATCCCGAAAGAAAGGCTATACGGCTGATAACCAATCAAAAGAGCAAGAAACCCCAAACGCGCGCCGAAGGCTGCGCCCTGAACAAAAAGAGGTGGATTGACCGTGGTTAATCCCTCAGCGGTTCAGGGGGTTGTCTCTACACTCTAGTTCCGCACTCAGCGCCCTTTTTCAGTGAGCGCTTGAGCCAAACGGCGTTTGCCGTTCGACAAGTCTGTCATGACATGCAACCCTCAACCTAAACCAAAGTGGCCTCATGCAAACCTCACATCAGTGACCACACAACTAGGCAAGTTACCATGCCTTTGGGGGCTAAGGGGTCGTTATTTCTTGACTATAGACACATAGATAGGTAGGTAGGTAGGTAGATAGATAGATGGTTAGATGGGTAGATAGCAAAAAGGTAAGGCAAGATAGATTAGTTAGATGGATAAATAGATAGGTTAGTTAGATAGATAGATCGATAGACAGACAAACAAGCAAATAACTGGACATGCAGGTGAAACAATATAAACATAGGTAGGGAGAAAGAGAGATAAATATTTTGAGAAACCGACCGAACGACCGACCGATCGACTAAGTGACTAACCACAAACAAATAGACAGGCAAACGACAAACACACAGAACAACAAACACAAAGAAAAGATGCGCGCGTCACGAAATATGATATGTACATGACCAGCACACCTAATGCAAGCTGTCGATTGGCAAACTTGAAAAGCCACTTGACCAGCCATGAGCACAAAATTGATAGACCGACAGCCACGTTTGAACGTCAACTACAAATAGAAAAAAAAAGACTGCAGAAAGTAAAGAGAGACAAAGAACGTCATACAGCAATATTCTAGGGGGTGATTCCCCATTCTGTTCAATAATTGTTCTTTCCAAAAACCGGCGTTTTCCCTGGGTTTCCGGAGGTTGTCTAGAAAGAAGGATCCCTGGAAAAAAAGGGAAGGTACCCCTAGAAATGTGTTATACCTCCACATGCTGGGGAGGGAAAACATAACATCGATGGTTGAGCCAACCAAGACCTTAAATTTCGATCTGTTAGCTCAATGGCTACGGCTTCGGACATTTGAGCCACGATGAAATACACGGTTCTCGAAACGGACGTTGGACAGTTCATGAGTTCCCGAGTTCTTGTTGTGGACACTAGAAATGAGTCGCCGCGTGATCCTCCATTTCAAATGGACCAGAATTTGGGGGAGGGGCCTCCTCAAGGGGTTCACTTTGAGAAACACCTTTGACCAAATCTTGAATGCCCAGCGAACGTCGCCTCCAGCAAACGGCGCAGGTGGTTCTGCACTCTCCGCTTCTCCCAGTACTGGCGCAAGGCTTGGCCCTCTTGCGACGTGCCGTCGGTCAACGAACACTGACCGGAGGGCTGTCACCATGGGTGTGGTTTTCACAGGGGTCCCTCCGTTTCCCGCTTTGCAACCTCCCAACGCGGCGATCGCTTCTTTGTACCACTCCCAAAAAATTACCCTCAAGAACCACCCCCCCGTCCCCCGTGCGACCGCGCCAGGTTCTTGTCGATGTGCTCTTCTGATGCGAGCAGCGAGCTGATCACAGGGCAGCTCAAAGCCTCGAACGAAGTGCTGGGCTCCGGAAAATCACACGCGACCCGACCAAAGCGCCGCCCCCGGTGTCATTTTGATATCAAAGATGGCCTCATGGGGGCTGGGGGGGGGGAGCGAGACCAAAGAAGCCCTTAATAAGGCCCTATTTAGGGCATGATGGTCCGGAAATGGAATATAACACCAATCTCAACCAGTGCCATTGATGTCTAAAAACAACCTAACCCAAGGACACCTCTGCCCCACAAAAACTGTTTCCTCTACAACCAACGGATTGTCGGGTTCCATGTTCTCCTACAGAATGCACCGGGGTGAGTTTGCAAATTGGACACTTCCTGGTGAAATTAGAGCAAGCAAAAGGAATGACCAAACCCGAATTAAGGAATTGCGCCAACGTTCGCCCAACTGTAAATCAAATGAATTCCCAAAAGACTCCAAACATGGAGAGGTCTTTCGGGATCCATGTTCATCTGCAGAAATTGTTCCCCTGGGATGAGTTTGTGAGTTGAAACTCCTTTCCGGAATCGGTGTCTCCGCGATGGATTCGAACGGTACATTCCACGAATTCCACCCTATGGGCGGCAAGGGGTTCCTTGGAAGTCGCCCGTCAAGCGCCTCCCGCCAGAAGGCACGAAGGCAGTTGATTTCCTGCACGTCCTGCGCGAGACGCAAAGCCTGCAACATGAATCTGCAAGAAGCGAGCAAAGCAACGCAACGCAAAGCAAAGCGACGCAAAGCAAAGCAAAGAAAAACAAAGCAAAGCGAAGCGAAGCGAAGCAAAGCACGGCAAAGCAAAACAAAGCGAAGCGAAGCAAAGCACGGCAAAGCAAAACAAAGCGAAGCGAAGCAAAGCAAAGCACGGCAAAGCAAAACAAAGCAAAGCGAAGCGAAGCAAAGCACAGCACAGCAAAGCAAAGCAAAGCCAAGCGAAGCGAAGCAAAGCAAAGCGAAGCGAAGCAAAGCAACATAAAGCGAAGCGAATCAAAGCGAAGCAAAGCAAAGCAAAGAAGGAACGCAGAGCGAAGCGAAGCAAAGCGAAGAAAAGCGAAGCAGAGCAAAGCACGGCAAGCAAGCACGCACGCAAGGACGCATGTCTGCGTGCACGCATACAATGATGCACACACACACACAGCGCATACACACAAAGAGCGCCCACACGCGCACACGTAAACATTCGCTCACTCACATGTTGGTGGAATATAGCATCATGGCATCTTCTCCAAATAAGATAGATAGATAATGACAATCATCTCACGACACTAAAGGTTGCAGTCAACATAAGAACATGATGGGATAACTTTCAATATGCGATAGTAAGATCCAGATCTGTAATTGTTGTCTGGGATTTTGCGGGATATATTATGCTGTACAGTCCCTGTCTCTTGCCATGACAGAAACACAACCATGTCGGAGCATCTGAATCCGCAGGCCTGCGTTGGTTTGAGAAGATCGCCAATGTAATTCTTCATGTCCTGCTTGCGCTGAAGATGTGGGCAGCTCAACACGCAATTCTGAGGGTTAATGACCATGCACCCATCGTTTGCTTCAGAAACCGCCCATTTTTTCGGGGGTTGTACCAATTTTTGAAGCAAAGGATCCCTGAAGAGAATGGGCAAGCGACAGCTAGAACAATTGCTTTTGCGATCCAGCGCCGTCATGCTCATGTCACGGCGGTCGCGCTGGCAAACGGCCCCCCTTCTTACACATGATGTGACCAGGGCTCACAATCCTGCAATAAACAACACACATAAACAAAAACAAAGACAGGAAAAAGAAACAAAAAACGGTGAGAAACAATAAACATCTGAACAGGCTAAACACATCAATACTACCGGAGTTTCTCAAAATGGTGGGACATCCGTTTGGTTTTCCGGGATGCCAAATGCAACTAACCTTCTTCATACCCCAATTTTGAGACATGCCAAAAAAAACACGCCCGTGCTGTGACCACATCACTCTCCCGTTCCTCCGAGAGCGCGGCACCTTGGATACTTTGAAGCGCTGAGAGTTCTGCGAAACATTTGTCTCACTCAATGGTCGATTTCCCTTTGGGTTCCTTTTACCCAGTGCTGTCCGGCAAGCCACAATGGTAGGTAAGCAGGGGAAACCATCATGTAAAACCCAGAGGTAAGGATCCCTGGTTGCCTACTATAGTGGCCCACCAAAAAAAGGTTCCCAAAAAAGGCGCACCTCGGGTCTAGTCAGAAATGGGCGGTCCCCCCAAAAGGGAGAAGCACCCTCGTCAAAAGTTGTTACTTTGCTTTCTCCATCTCTTAGGTAGTTTTCGTTCATCTCGATGACTTGGGAGGACTCTTCGGCGTGCACACAGTGCTCAAACAACGCAACATGGCGCAAAGTCAAGCCGCATCAGGCCGTGGATTGCCTTAGGTGCTTGCCATTTGACACAAACACCCTGCCTCCCAGTAACGAAGCTGTTGGGGGAGGGTACCCGGAAGAACAGTTTCCTCTTAAAGAGAACACCCTGTCATGTGCAGAGGGAGTGTGCAATCGTGCAACTGAATGCGACGCATTGCATGTTCACGTGTTCATGGCGGACATCACCTCTCTGAGGCCCCCGCTGGGCTCAGGTTTCTGCTTTGGTGGAGATGCCTCAGCGAATTCAAACACTACCCAACACACACCACCTGCATTCCTGGGTTTCTCTTCTTGCCTTCGATGCTTTTAGCAAAACGAACGCATAGCGCAAGGTTGCATTTCGGAGTTGTTTCCCGTTTCATTGAACCCTCCTGCCAGGGAATGCAACTAACTCAAACTATAGCTGTGACAAAGAACTTTTCTGGTTCAGGTGCGTTGGAAACAAACAATCAAATCAGTTCAAGTGGAGCACAACAAGTTTTGACAATATTTTCCGTTTTGGTGGACACATTTTCTGGGGGTGTCATTGGGTTTGGACCCCCGAAGTGGTGGTGTCCCCGGCTTTTCACTGAACACCCAGCCTGAAGAGCGTAACTCCCAAAACGAGACACCCATTAGAGTTCATATCAAAGCTTGATACTGGGGTCTGCCCAAAATCAGTAAAAAAACCAAGAGGGCGGATATCCGCGCCTATTGCTGGGTGAGCTAAATGTGGTGGTCCTTGTGGCTTCCCTTGAAAAACAACAGAAAACAGGACCTCAAAGGCCCCAAACTCACATTTGCCTCAAAACGGGTTGGTCCTGCTTGGTCCCCTGAGTCGCCAGTTAAACAGGGCTTCCCCTATTTGTAAAACCCGCCCAGCATGAATGCGTACCCTACCCAAAACCAAGTTACACTTGTAGGAATCTAGTGGTTGATTCCCCATTCTTTTCAACCATCGTTCTTTTCAGAAACCGGCTGTTTTTGCGGGGTTCTTGATGGTTTCCTGAAAAGATTCGGATCCCTGGAAAGAATGAAGCCCCTCTTTGTTCTGCCACAGCCCAAACCAACCAACCAACACCCCAGTCTGGGCTTCTGACATCCAGAAAGCTCGCCGGTGGCCTCCAGGGCCTGCGCTGCACGCGCAATCCAAAGCGGACGCTCAGTGAGGGCAACCACCTTGAGAACGCCCCGACTTTGAGACTTTGACATAGCATGGGATGTTTTTTTTGCGCGCCTCTGACGCTCCAGTGAGGGAAACCATCCCTTGGCCTTCTGGGGCCAAAAAGCCGAACACCTCTAGGGAACCCCCCCCAATTTTTTGACTCAGTGGCTTTGGGGCTCAACTAAAACTGGCTCCCTCGTGAGTTCCCCATGCCTCTGCCAAATGAACCAGAGCTAACTGGACAGTTTGATCAAGCCCTGTGTGACTGATTGTTCGTTCAATATTGATGAAGGCCGGAGCAGATTGCGCACATCCCCACCTTGACTTCTGCGGGGTTTGACTTTGATCTCAGGGCTCTTTTCATCTTTTCCGTTTGCATGAATGCTCACTGTGCCCCCGGCCTCTGTACAAATGAGGCGGGCTCCTCCTTGGGCTTTTGCACCTTTGCCTTGGCCAGCCTCACCGGGCGCGCTTTGGGGCTGGGGGGGTTGGAGGTGCCGGACCGGTCGCCGGGTCTGCGCGCCACCCGCACCTCCACCTTGGGCTTCGCAAACGTCCGCGGCGCCGGGCTCGGGGAGGCCACGGCTCGCGGCGCCGAAGGCGCGGAAGGCGCGGAAGGCGCGGAAGGCGCGGAAGGCGCCGGCACGGAGCTGGGAGGCGCCGTCACCGGCGCCGGGAAGCGGAGCGGCCCGGAGCCGCAAGACTTGAGCACCGGCGGCCCGTAAAGTCCAGGCTGTCCCAGGGACGTTCTTTGTCCTGGACTCACCTGGTGTCCCGAGTTGGGTGACCAGGTGATAGGGCTGGTGGGGTAAGCGGGGTAGGCGTGCGTCACCTTGGTGCCCGGGGTCGCATAAATCGCGCCATTGGTCAGCACCATGCAGGGCGCACGCATGCTGGGCAAGGAAACGGGAAAACACAACCATGAAAACCTACAATTTGATTTGCTCACCATTTGTGTGCTGTAAATCACAACAACGTGCTTCAGGATTAATTCGGTGTCTGAGATTCTTGCAAACAATTGATGGTCACCCTACTTACCCCTGAAAACAACAGTCCAGCGCGGTGCTAAGCTTGCAGCCGATATCTGATGAGCAGTGCATATATCAACAATGTCCCGTTTTCGTGGCGCCTGTCTCAAAATGGGGCACGTTCAAAAAAATAGGTGCAGTTCTTTTTGTTTCCCTTGAAAACCGCCCAACAAAAGGTACCCGAAACAAAAGAAGGCGCACAGCTAGTTGCGGCCTGTTTCCCAAACTGTGCGCGCTGACCCTTTTCACTTCGCGAGGATGTGTGAAACTGTCGGCGTCACTGGCAGCTGGCCTTCAAACAGAAGCTCAGAAGGGTGTTTGTTTCAAGGGGAAACCAAGTTCGGGGGGGTTCAAATCCTAGAGAAGACAGTCCCAAGAGTCTGCCTAGGACCCAGCGGGCAAAAGCAACCATGCACATGGACAAAGCCCCCCCCAAAAAAAACTGGTCAGCTCACGTTGAAGATGAGCAAACTAAAAAAACCAGGTCACGCGGCAGATGGATCCCATGGCCCATAGCGTGAGACGTGAACACAAAGGCAAAATCAATGAAACGGCATCCAAACAGGAAGAAACTAGAAACTAATCAAAGCACAATCCGGGAGAAACACACACTTGAACTCCAGATGGAGGGTGCTAATCTTTCGAGTACAACTGATGAGTCTCGAGTACAACTGATGAGTCTCGAGTACAACTGATGAGTCTCTCATCGTTCGAGTACAACTGGTGAGTCTCGAGTACAGCTGGGGTTCAGCTGGTTTTGGAGAAAAGGGCAAAAAGGGGACCTTTGTTTGGGGTGGGCCCGCCAGCTGCCATGACAATGGCCCAGGCGCAGCCCCGCAGGTACGTTTGGACCCGGACACCGGGGGGCATCTTCGTTGGCTCCAGCCCCCTGCGTAAGAAATTGTGGTGGCAGGGTATTCTGCCACTCCGCACACACACGCCCCTCTGTGAGGGGCGAAAAGTCTCTTTTTCTCTGCCGGAAGATCACATGCTCAGCTCCTCAACTGAATGAAGTCATACAGGTCCAGGAAGCGAGTCCGTAGGGATCGAAGGTGCTTCATATCCGCGAAGGTGGAGTGCATGACTTCACACAGCAATGACGTCTTGTAGAAGTGAAGGACCTCGAAGAACGGCGGAATGTACCCATGATTTTGTGAAATGAGTCGCTGTAAAAAGCAAATACGAAGTGATCCGACATCTGTGAAGCTCATACCTGTTGGCCACAGTGTGACGGGAGCGCGACATGGAATGCATCGGAATTTGAAGCGCAATCCGAGCCATGGCGACTCATACTCATCCATTGGAACTGATGGTGGTAGAAGTCCAGGAAAGCTGTACTGCCAACACGCAGAGAACAACGTTAACGTGTCCAGAAAGGTAGCCAAGGAATGCCATTGTGCAACGTCCTCAAATATCCCACTGTGTCGAAGTTCAGTCCGAATATCTAACCAAGGATAGCTGCAAGGTGGCGGCGACATGCATTCAAGAGACAATAAGTGACAAGCAACTCACAAGACAAGATGAGACAAGCAACTCACAAGACAAGCCATGTCCCCCTGCGTACGAAATTGTGGTGGCAGGGTATTCTGCCACTCCGCACACACACAATCACACCCACACACACGCAACAAAATCAAAACGCAATGGAACCGTCCTCGGATGTTCATCTGTCCCAGCCAGTGAGGTCGTCTTCTGAGTCGTCTCCTGGCGCAACAAGCACGCCCCGGAAGGGAGCCAAGAGCTTTGACGGCTCTTGCAAATAGCTTCTTTTTGCGGGTACCCGTAGGGTTGCTTAACATCTGGGAGGTGCCCCGGAAAAGAATCAAACCAAATATTGAAAGTGTGCTTTAAGGATTGGGGCCCATGAGGCTTAAGTCACGTGTCTCCGAAATGCGCAAGCCTTGACATCTGTCACGAAAGAGGAAAGTTTGGAAAAACACTTGCGCGTGTGCCGCAAGCCAAGAGTGATTGAGCAACACACCCTCACAAAATTCTAGCTCAATCTTCGGCCCAGCAATAGAGCAGCTTGCCCAAATTCCCCCTTTCAAGTTCAATCTGGCCAAGTAGACCCCTCGGCCTTCAGCTATCTGACTGCAACCTACCTGCAGTTGCAGTCAGACAAAGCCAAGAACCATGCAAAAGAGAAGAACGGTCCTTGCGTGGTAGGCTTTGTCAAAAGCATTGCAAAAACCATGCCAAGAACCATGCAGTTGCGTTTATTCAAAGCCAGAAACCATTCCAGCACCAGAGGTCCCATCCGAGCCTTGGCAACCCGGCGCGGCTACCGGCGCGGCCACCGGCACGGTCACCGGCCCGTGGCTCGCGGGATAGCTATAGCTTGGGGTTGCCTCAAAGTGACACGACACTTTGGTGTGTTTCTGGGAGGTAAAATGGAAAACATGCAAAAACAGTTGAATTCTTTTGGGGGTCGCCCGATTTTGACACAACACAACACAAATCAATTGATGGGATGTGGCATCTCACACACCTGCCTCATTCGAGAAGAAATACGCCCAAGTGTGGGAAACATACCGCATTTGCTCTGAACAATTGGGTTGATCTCTGTACGAGTGGGGATTTGGTACAACAGTTGGGAGACTGCGCGGACGAGTTTGGGGTGAGAACTCATGCGCAATGGCAAATGAATAGCGTATGCAACACAACGTACTGTGGACGGACGAAATCCACCACCAGAGAACCCTGGAATGATCATTCCTTACCAACAAACAACGGTTTCCCATGGTTTCATTTCGTGGCGCGAACGGATTTCGTCCATCCACAGCATCGTCTTCCAGCTTCACGGCGTGCATAACTGCGGGCGGTTCGGCTGGTGAAGCCAGCCGAATCCGCCCTGGCCGAAATGAATCACGCCTCTTTCGTGATATTGTTCCCCCATTCCTGTCCTGATAGGACCTAAATTACTGGTCTGCCCTGCCCCCCCCCCCCCCCCCAGCAACTGAAAACACAATCTGGCTTGCCCGCAGCTTCGATTCTCGATAGGAGCAATCCCATAGGAAGAACGACTACCCGCCACAAGCCACCCCAACTGAAAAATGTCCAGCGACCTGGCCAAATCTCGTAGCAAGAAGCCTGTGAAAGCTGGGCAGTTGTTTACATGAATCACCAAACAAAAAGCTGAAACGTGTTTGTTTTCCTTCAAGTGCGAGTCTCCCCCTTTCCTGTTTTCCTGCCGAAACTTGCACGCCCTTTGCTCCAAGTTTGTCCATCCATCCGAATTGCTCCTCGGATTCTTTGCTAGTTCCTTGAAGAAAACTCGGACAAGAAAAAGGGCCCTCTTTGAAACTCAACTTACCCTTGCAGTGTCCATTGCAAACGCAAATTCAAGACAATGTCCCCACCAACCAGTTTTCGCGGCAAAATCACTGCGGCAAATTGGAAGATCAAACGGAAAACGGTCCCAAACAGTTCCACATGGAGAATACAATTTAAGACTATGTCCCATGCAGATTTACATGCAACAGAAAGAGGTCCGCGAGCAAGTGTGGCAAAAACAATGCGGAACATTGTTCCCAGAGAAAGTGTGGAAAACAGCCAAGGGCCGATGAAAGACAAAGAGAACCATCTCGGTTTCGTGTTTTGCGTGTTTCCTCTGTTGCTCTGGCTCCGAAGCTACAGAAGTATCCAGTCGAGTCTCACGCACGACAGGCACAAAGGCTTATATATATATAAGGCAATCCGACTGGACGCCTTCATAGAACGCAATTGAGTCCTCCATCTGACTTGCGGCTGCTGCAGCTATTGTCTGAGAAAACATTCTAGCCAGCTTGTTGAAGGCAGCAACAACTTTCTCCAGCAAACGCAGCATGACTCAGGGGTGACTCTGGGGTGGCACAATGAGCACTTGCACAGTACCCGCAGTCCGGAAGAAAAAAAGAAAAACAAACACGGCATTCCGTCTTCCCCATAAGCCAACATGGCATCCATTGAAATCCACCTCCAATCAGCCATGCTGTGGAACGAAATCCTGCACCAGTTTCAAGCCAAGGGAAACAAACCATTGGTTGGTTTGTACCGGGGAATCATCATAGGCTGTCTGAGGTGGTGCGCAGATTTCGCAACCATCCACAGTATGGGGAGGGATCACTAGAACCGAGGACGTGTCAAATGAAAATCCTCGTCACGGCGCTGGGCAGCCGGGCACTGGGCGGTGAAACCGTGGGAGTCTGGGAATGGATCGCGGACTTCGAAGCGGGACAGGAAGTTTTAGCTAATTCATCAAAAACAAATCAGTTATTTTAAGATTTAATATTTCTATATACTTATTAATAAACAACAAATCAGTTATTTTGTTTTAATCTTTCTAAAAACAAAAATGCCCACCTAATAAAACAAATATGTTTTTTCATCGGAGGACGGAATGCTTTGCCTGCTAAAGCTAATCTCAAAGGGACAAATAAATATATATTCCTCTTTTTGCAGTCGCATTAGAACATCCAAGGGGTAGGCTCCAAACCATCAGCACGGAACCTGAATCACTTGGTTGACGTTGGAAGGGGAGTCAACATGGAACCTGAATTACTTGGTTGACGTTGGAAGGGGAGTCAACATGGAACCTGAATCACTTGGTTGACGTTGGAAGGGGAGTCAACATGGAACCTGAATCACTTAATTGACGTTGGACGGGGAGCCAACATGGAACCTGAATTACTTGGTTGATGTTGGAAGGGGAGTCAACATGGAACCTGAATTACTTGGTTGACGTTGGAAGGGGAGTCAACATGGAACCTGAATCACTTGGTTGAGGTTGGAAGGGGAGTCAACATGGAACCTGAATCACTTGGTTGACGTTGGAAGGGGAGTCAACATGGAACCTGAATCACTTGGTTGACGTTGGAAGGCGAGTCAACATGGAACCTGAATTACTTGGTTGACGTTGGAAGGGGAGTCAACATGGAACCTGGTTGACGTTGGAGGGGAGTCAACATGGAACCTGAATCACTTGGTTGACGTTGGAAGGGGAGTCAACATGGAACCTGAATCACTTCGTTGACGTTGGAAGGGGAGTCAACATGGAACCTGAATCACTTGGTTGACGTTGGAAGGGGAGTCAACATGGAACCTGAATCACTTGGTTGACGTTGGAAGGGGAGTCAACATGGAACCTGAATCACTTGGTTGACGTTGGAAGGGCAGTCAACATGGAACCTGAATCACTTGGTTGACGTTGGAAGGGCAGTCAACATGGAACCTGAATTACTTGGTTGACGTTGGAAGGGGAGTCAACATGAAACCTGAATCACTTGGTTGACGTTGGAAGGGGAGTCAACATGGAACCTGAATCACTTGGTTGACGTTGAAAGGGGAGTCAACATGGAACCTCAATCACTTCGTTGACGTTGGAAGGGGGGTCAACATGGACCCTGAATCACTTGGTTGACGTTGGAAGGGGAGTCAACATGGAACCTGAATCACTTGGGTGACGTTGAAAGGGGAGTCAACAGGGAACCTGAATCACTTGGTTGACGTTGGAAGGGGAGTCAACATGGAACCTGAATCACTTGGTTGACGTTGGAAGGGGAGTCAACATGGAACCTGAATCACTTGGTTGACGTTGGAAGGGGAGTCAACATGGAACCTGAATCACTTGGTTGAGGTTGGAAGGGGAGTCAACATGGAACCTGAATCACTTGGTTGACGTTGAAAGGGGAGTCAACATGGAACCTCAATAACTTCGTTGACGTTGGAAGGGGAGTCAACATGGAACCTGAATCATTTGGTTGACGTTGGAAGGGGAGTCAACATGGAACCTGAATCACTTCGTTGACGTTGGAAGGGGAGTCAACATGGAACCTGAATCACTTTGTTGACGTTGGAAGGGGAGTCAACATGGAACCTGAATCACTTGGTTGACGTTGGAAGGGGAGTCAACAGGGAGCCTGAAACACTTGGTTGACGTTGGAAGGGGAGCATACATTCTCAAATTTCAGCAGTTGACTGGGAATTTCAACCACTAAACCACAATAAGCAAAATGTAAAATGTTTCCCAACAACAACCATGTGAAAGGAAATTCCAGGGGTACCTTCCCCATTCTCTCCAGGAATCATTCTGCCTAAGAAACCTCGAGAAACCCAGGGAAAATGGCCGGTGTGTGAAAAGAATGATGGCTGAGAAGAATGGGGAACCAAACCCTAGAGAAGTGGTCCCTTTAAAAGGAAAATGGTTCAAACCCGGAGTATTTTCAAAAGGTCAGGTTCCGTGATACTTGGTGGGAGGGTGTGTATCAAGTTGCCCCTGAGGGACTTTTGGGCCACTAAACTTAGACCAAAAGAGGGAAACCAAAAGTTCAGATCCCGCCGGTTTGCTTTCAAGTGACAGAACCTGGAGTGGCCCCCCCCCTTTTGAGAAACACCCATAGCATGCGTGGTGATTGAAAGTGTCTCTCTCCCAACAAAGGCCTAAACAAAAAAACAACAAGCTCGATCGTAAGCTCCTTCGTTCAAGCTCGCAAAATGTCAATGGCAGCTGTGTCTGTGACGTGGAGCGGTTTTCAACCTGTGGCGCCATTGAATTTTCTCACGAATGCTGACTATGATCCATGCTATACATGAAAACACCGCAACGTGATGTTTGCGCACCCAGAATTTTACATGTTGCGTGGCCCGCATCCTTTGGGCATCGTTGAACTTCACACTGCCATCTAAATTGGCAAAACAACCCTTTCCCAACAATAACGCTCTGGACTTTCTACGATTTCAGTAGCATATTGTCAATGATGTGGCTGTGCCAATCATGGATCACACAACCACCCGCAAATCATCAGAATGTCCGTGGTGTACCTGCAACACAATCCCGCCGCCTTGGCTACTGCACGGAACACAACGTGTTAGCCATATTCAACTTGCTGAAAACAGCACCTCAGCAGCACATCAAATTGGTACAGCGGTTACTTAAACAACATACACCCTCCAAACTGTTTCGGGCAAAATGTGTGGATCAGGTCCTGGCCGCTTGGCCTGACGCCAGTGGCCTTCTTGCTCTGGCTAATTCCCCCATCCCATCCTGCCTGCCGCACCGGCACACCTGCGAACATACGCGTACCTCATTATGGAACCTGACTGGGTCCCGGGGAACTAGCTTCCTCTAAAGTCCCTCCGGTGGGTTCCACGTTGGACGGGAAGCTTCTCAGCAAGGTGCCGCAATGTCGTTTCCTCGCCAACCCTCGATCTGTCAACGACCTGCTGAAGGCGACTTCTTGCCATGACCAAAATGCTGATCAAACAATGAAATGCCACATCGTTTCTCCGACTCAATGTTTTTGCGCTCAGAAGGGAATGAGCGAATGCCCCATAAACCATTGTGTGTGGTTTCCTTCAAGGGCATCCCCTTCCGGTTCATTCTCAACACCCTGGGTCATTCCCTACTGATCACCAGCAAGTGTTGGCAAAAAAATGTGCAGGTCCTGTTTGTTTACTCTTGTTTGATGGCAGCACGCAAACGCGATTGATATATCCCCATTGATATCATCAAACACAAACAGGACGTTCAAAGCTAATCCACGCATGTCAATGAGAAATTGGACGTTCCACCTGCATGGCAATCACGTGAGAAACGATATTGAAATCCCGAAATTCGTGAAAAGTAGATGAATCCAAATAAATCATGTCCCGTTATTTCACGATGCTGTCAATCAAGTTGTAGCCATTTGCCCGGTTTTTGAGTACTTTGCATTTGTTCTGATGCAAGACCATGCCAACATGAACAGAAAACAACATTCAATCGCAAACCATCCTAACAACTCGTCAAGAATAGTACACTGGCCATGGCATCATAACAAACCCCGAAGTCAGCTGCGGCACCTTCCATCTGTGAAGCGGCGCCGCGACCTGCTATGAAATGGTTGGCGAGAAACTGTGTTCAAAAATCAGATGTTTGAATGACTTGGGCGGACAAACCGAATTAAATGTCCGCCCTGCCCCCCCCCCCTGAGATCTGTCTGCGCACAAGCTTTTGTGAATGGTGTTTGAAACAATGTCGGAATTGGTCGGAATGCATTTCGCCCACTGAGCTGAGCTGCAATTTGGCCAACTGGTCGACTTTAAGAAGCATTTCCTCAAATTGGTCATTTGCATTTCAAACTGAGAAAACACAAGCTAGCCGCGGCTCTCAACGGGAAAATGTTCAAGATGCTCAAGCCTCAAAACAGACCAATCCTGCAACATCAGTTTCCATTAACGGGGAAACATAGAAACCCGATTTCCAGCAGTGATAGATTCCCCTTGTTGAAATCAACAGGGGAAAAAACACATATTCTTAACTCCGGTGATAGAGATCGGCGGAGACCAGACCACTGATGCACTCATTATCCCGAACCAACCTGAACCTGCCAGGGCTTTAAGCACCCTACACGTCGATCAGAGAACTCCGGGACGAAATTTGGAACTTTGAGACCTCATGGGTCAAACAGGGGTGAAAGTCAATTGACTTTCCTTGTTGCAATTTGCTAACAATCGCCACTTTGTCGGATGTGAAACTTGTTTTTTTCTTGCAGAGATTGAGCTCGTGGGCTGTGTATCCCATCGAAGCCCCTTAGGCAGCTGTCAGGACTCTGACAGAATTAGAGTGACCGGGAAATCACAAGTCAAACGGTCGATTCGCTTTGGGCAAGTGAGAGACTCTCTCTACGAATTCGCGTGCAAAGCCATTCGAACACCATTTGGCAGGATGGCCTTGTAAGATTCCACTTGGTTGCTGTTGACCCCCCTGCAAAAAGTTTAACTTTTTGGGGGTTTAGTGGAAAACATCTTTATTTCCCAAAAGGTTAAAGTCTAAAGATCCAACCCAATAGAAGTCAAGTCCATAACTTGACTCCATCAGATTGGGTGTGTCACGCGCCAGCGTCGAAAATCTCCCAAATCAACCTCACGTCCCCTCGGCAGATGGGGCATCGCTCAGCCCTCGTCTCCAGCAGCGTCTTGCACTCGGCGCAAAGGCAGCGGTGCCCACACGGCACAGCCCATCTGGCCTCCTGACAAACCAATCTGCGAGCGCGTGGTTCACCCAATGGCCTGACACACCACTGGGCTGTCCGTTTTCAGGTCCCCCGCGCGAACAGTTTGATCTGTGGGTCAATTGGGAATCCCCGCTAAATCCACAAGGCTCAAAGCCTAGGAAACCGAATGACTGGGAACCACCAATGAAACAATGGCCAGTGCTAGCCCTGCTCAGTGCCAGCAGTTGTTTGGCTTCTTGACAAGGTTCCAAGCCAAACCCAGCCCTGTCTAAAAAGACCGCACAACAAAAACTGAGAAGCAAAGCTGACAACTCCGAAGCAACCCTTCGCTTCGAAATCACGACGAATTCTCATCGCCAACTCGAATTCAGGGGGCCTCCAGGCGACCCGAAGACTCTACCAATCCCCAAGCCCAGAAGCCCCCAGACTTCCACGAACCCCGAAGCTTGATATGTGGGCTAAGTGGAAGTGGAAACCCCCCCTAAACCAACCCAAAGCCCAAAAAACCTAAGATGCCTGGGAATCATCAAGAATGATATCAGTAGATTGAATTCCTCAACGCAAGCAAATTATTGTTCAATCCTTACAGGACCCACTGTTCGCATTTTGATCTCTTTGCCAATGGCCCCATTGGCACTCACCCCGGCGCCCCCTCCTCGTCCCGACATACGATGCATACTCCTGGACGTGCACGCGGAGAGTCAACCCTCTCGGAAAAAGCCATGAGCGCTTGCAAGCGCCGGCCTTGGCCAAGCGACCAAGACCCATCGACCTTTTCTCCCAACCTTACCCTCCCTCCAGTGGCACCTGCGGGAGGGCACCTGGATCAGTTTCCTCTCGGAGGGACCGGGTCCCTGTGTGCCATGTTCGTTGGAGAGAGGGTCAGAGAGGGTATGCATTTCATGCCCCCCCCCCCCACTAATTAATCAGGGGTAGTTTTCAACCATAGGCCTTACCATAGGTGTTTTTTTGTGTGAAATAAATTGCCCGGTAAATGAAATAAATAAAACCGAATTAAACCAGTGGAACCCATCTATGTCTAATCAAACTAGCCGAAACATTACACCCATGGGACTTACTATACTCAACTTGTTTGTAAAACCAGACGCTACCATCGCCTTTGAGAGCCGCGGAGCCGAGCTCCTCATCGGAAGGACACTCGTCGTCGTCCTCCTCTTGCGGAGGCGAAGTCAATGTCGGGGGGCCCGGACTCGAGGTCTCAGCTGTGGGATCACCTCGGTGCAATGCCAGAGGCCAAAATCCAAAGAGAGAAGGCACCACATCAGCCACTACTCCAAAAATGATATCTTCAGATTGGGTGTCATGTTTAGCCACCAGAACAACATATTACAGTAAACAGTTTTGAGCAGACCCCAGCTAAGACCTGAGGTCAAATGGGCTGTGTTCTTGGACCTTGCACCTGAGCTTGCTGCAACTTACTTCTGTACCGCAACAAGCGAGCCAGCGTTCTGGGCCAAAGACAAGCATCCCACTTGACGGCGGCCTGTTGTTTGAGGGGAAGCCACAGAAATATTTGTCTTCCATTGCGCGCCTGCGGGGGACTCTCTGGAGGACATGCTTGAGGTTGATGGCGGTGGAGCAAAGTTGGCTTCCTAAGGCGACAGGGAAAGCGCATTCAAGAGGCAAGGCTGGCTTCCGATGTCCAAAAGGGAGGTGAGGATGGGGGGAACGAAGGGGCGTTGCTTCTGTGTCCCTTTGGCATTTAAGCTGTGCGTGTGTGTGTGTGTGCGTTTTTCCTCGAGGTGACCGCTCCGAGCCGGAGCTTCTTTCGGTGATGGGCCCAGGCTTCTCCCCCATGGAGCACCCCAGGCCACCCACGCCAACCCAAGACTACCTTCAACCTACTTCCAACCCTTCCCTAAAGCGCCAGAGCGCACAAACTCTCCATCGACCCGACCCTGATCAAAGCCCAAGCCCAATAACCCGACCCAAAACACCTGATGCCGAACCGACGACAACAACCTATATTCTCCCACGCCAGTTAAGACCAGCCCCCAAACCAAGCAAGCGCAAATTGAGATTTAGCGGACCTGGAGCTGACGGACAAACTCCATTCAAACATGGCTAGCCTGCTGGACAACCCAGACCCGTCTCATAAGGATGAGCTCCGCGATTCTACTGGGCCACCCGTGTTTCTTGCATCGCACCGAGTGAGATCCATCTCAGCTGACGTGGAAGTCTCTCGCGTCTCCGAGTTCGTTTGGACATCGCTGCTTCAGAAGGAAAAGAGCGCCCGGTCAAGTCCGTGAGGCTATCAGTGACTGACCTCAAGCAAGCGAACAGGTTACCCCAGCCCCAAGATCCCGGGCCCAAAGCGCCGGAAGCCATAGCACTCTGAGCGTCACGACGTCTGGGGAGAGGAGGGCGCACCGCCCGGGACGCGGAGCTCTCCTGCAGTCTTATTGGCTTGCAGGCTGAAACCCAGGCAGCGGCTTCCCTGCTAAAGGGGGAGCCAACTGGACTAAGTCGACCCTGGTGATCCAAAAATGGAACCAAACAAAATATGTTCAGAGCGTGGTTGCCAATGGACATTGCCAAGACACGCACCTGCCGAATGAACACATCAATAAATCACCCCTGTTGGGCATGCAAGTAAGCCCCGCTTTTCAAATTCTGCGGCCTGGAACAATCGCAACAGACCCAACGTTCCAACCAATAGCACCCCGAATTGCAATGTGGGACCTACATGGCTCAATACTAGATTGCTAGACACACAAAGGGAAAGAGAGAGAGAGAGAGAGAAAGGGAGCGGGACAGCGAGAAGGAAAAAGCGGGAACGAGCGACAAAGAGAGGGAGAGAGAGCCAAAAGAAAGAAAGAAAGAAAGAAAGAAAGAAAGAAAGAAAGAAAGAAAGGAAGGAAGGAAGAAAGAAAGGAAGGAAGGACAAAATAAATCAGTGGATAAGGAACGAAACAAACATGCATAAGTCAACATTTGAAAGAAACCGACAATAAACAAGACAGGAATTAAGGAAGGAAGGAAGGAAGGAAGGAAGGAAGGAAGGAAGGAAGGAAGGAAGGAGGGAGGGAGGGAGGGAGGGAGGGAGGGAGGGAAGCAAGCAAGCAAGCAAGCAAGCAAGCAAGGAAGGAGCGAAGGAGCGAAGGAGCGAAGGAAGGAAGGAAGGAAGGAAGGAAGGAAGGAAGGAACGAAGGAAGACAAACAGACCAACATAAATATAGAGAAACAGAAGAGAAGCAGAGATCAAGGGATAAGGAGAAACATAGAGACAACCATATACAAAGAAAGAGAGAGAAACAGAGAAAGAGAGAGAGAGAGAGAGAGCGTACCGGACGCAACAACAGAGCAAAATGAAGGCCATTGACCAAGACAACATGCAAGAGAAAGGAAGCTGCTAGACCAGCAGGAGCGGGCAAGATACCTGGGAGAAGACATGTGCCAGTCATAGCGCTCTCTGCCTGCAGCCAGTACGGCCGTGGCAAGTGCCGGCGAGGCCGATCATGTGACCGTGCATCATCATGGGAGCTGCGCCTCCGAATCGTGACATTCTCGAACGTGAGCAAGGCGATCTGATCTAACATGCGCAGCCAGCGCCGCTTCCTTACTTGACTTCTCCTATGTGGGTGTGTCTTGCAATAAGCGACGCCAAACATTGTATTGCCCCTTGCGGTTTCCCTTTCAAACTGTTCCAAAAAGAGAACTATGGGCAAGTCTTTGCTTGCAGCAGGCCGCAAGAAGCCGCGGCGATTTACCCACCCGCATAGAGATGGTGTGTGACCTGTCAACCAGGAATGCCAGACCCTAAAAATGGGGCGCCTTCCGACATTCATGCCAACGATGATCTATTTCCGGGCATGATTAGTGACCTGTGTCATGGCAATAGAAGCAGGCCGT